GAGACAAACCGTGTGGACTATTGAATGCGGTACGCCGCAAGGATTTCGGTACATACGGTCGGACTGCATCGTTCGTTACGTCACAAAAAATATTCGCGTTTTGCTCGGGAAAATGGATTTTTCGTAACTTTAATTTTAATGCGTTCGACAGTAGGATATCCTGCAATTCGCTGTCTCCCTCTTGCGCGGATGCAAGAGCTCGATGATCGACGGTTTGGGCGATTGCCTCGACCCGGGATAACGCGTCGGCTATGTTATCCAAACCCTTAACGTGTCGAATATCTGTTGTGAACTGCCCGATATAGTCTAGATGTCTGAACTGACGCGGCGAGCACTTTTCCGTATCCTGATTAAACGCGTAAGTCAGAGGCTTGTGATCGCTATACGCGCTATATTTCTGTTGCGGGGGCGACAATGATTGCGTATAAAAACCTAACGGTTGTCACGCGCCGTTCACTTGCTGTTGTAACACCGCTCTGATCGCATAATCGGACGCATCAACGACGAAGCTGATCGGTGCGCCTGGTACCGGGTGCGCTAACAACGCCGCATTTGCTAAAACACGCTTGGAATTTAGAAACGCGCTTTCCAAGTGCTCGTTCCACGCAATGGGCGTGTTTCCCTTCTTTGTCCCTTTTAGCAAATCGTTGAGCGGTCGCAAAATTTCCGCCGCGCCAGGGATAAATCGTCTATAGAAGTTAACCATACCGAGATATCGACGCACTTGTTTTACGCTCTCCGGCTTTGGAAAATTCGCAACAGCTTCTACGCGTTCGGCCAGTGGTTTAATCCCGTCAGCGTTCACCGAGAATCCGAGGAACGTAATCTCGTCTATGCCGAAAGTGCACTTCGCGGAATTGATAACTACTCCGTATTCGTTTAAACGGTTGAATAGCGCTCTCAAGTGTTCGCGATGTTGTTCGGCGTTCTCGGATGCTATTAGAAAATCGTTGATATACGCGTAAACGAAATCGAGACCGCGCGTAATCTCGTCCACGAACCTTTGACACGTTTGCACCGCGTTGCGGAGACCGAACATCATATTTGTGGCTTCGAAGAGTCCGAACGGCGTCGTTATCGCCGTTTTTTCAATGTCTTCGGTCGCGATGGGAATTTGATGGTACGCCCTCACCAAATCGATTTTCGAGTATACGCGCTTACCATGCAATCGCTGCGCGAAGTCCTCTATATGAGACGGCGAGTATCGGTCCGGTATTGTCCGAGCGTTGAGCGCCCGATAGTCGCCGCACGATCGCAACCCGCCGTCCGTTTTTGAAACGACGTGCAACGGCGACACCCATAGGCTCTTCGACGGTCGGATCACCCCTTGCTGCAACATCAGGTCGAATTCCGCTTTTGCTTGCTTGAAACGGTTGGGAGCGAGGCGGCGCGGCTTGCAGTGCACCGGTGGTCCTGGTGTCGTCTCGATGAGATGCTTGACATTGTGTTTCGCGCTTTCCCTGCCGAAGGCGGGGGGTCGGGTCAAGTCTGGGAACCCGGCGAGTAAACGGTGGTACGGCGATTCACCCACGATTGTCTTTACCGACGCGACGCTGCCGTTAGCCGTGTGTCCCGTCGAAAATAAGCTCGTTACTGAATCAACCAATCGTTTATTTCGCAGATCCACTAGCAACCCATAATGACTGAGAAAGTCCCTACCGATTACGGGCGTGCTAATCTCGGTCTCTACGAAACGCCACTTAAGGCCAGGATCCCGTTTTGGCTTATCTCCGAATCGATCGAAGCGACGATATCTATGAGCGGAGAATACTAGAAATAAACAATCTATAAACTAGACAACTCGCGTTGGGTCATCTATCGACTAGATCTACAGATATATCTAAACTCTATTAGCCACTTATTCCTATTCCTATTACCAACCAACTTTTGACAGACAAAGGACGCGAAGGCATCGTTGCCTGATTGTTACGCTGTTGCCATATCTATCAATCTATTTTTAGACGTCAAGCAAATTTTAGAAATACGGGCTCGAGCCAAGTTTCCTAATCCTAGCAAGTGCGACTCGAGGAAAGAGGGAGGGGATGATCAAAAATACACTTGAGCCAAATGAAATATCCAATACGACAGTCGGTAGCATATAAAAAAAAAAAAACATCTTACATCAAGTTTCAACCTCTTATCTCAACCATGCAGGCAGTAAAAAGGGAAAAACCGAATTTCGGTTTTTGGCCTATTTTGCCTACTTAATCTCGTACAAAAATTCCGAAAAAATTCTAAAACATTGAGATTCACATAGCACACATTACAGAATTTTTTTACATTTTTATATTGCAAACTGTAGTTGTAAAAAATGAAAAACCGCATTTATTAATTTTACGTCGTATCTGGTTATATTCAGAAACGTAAAAGGATACTGCAACAGCATTATTAGCGAAAGCGGTAGGACTCTTGCCTCGCAATTGGTGGATGTTTTCTAGGCGTGGGATCGAATCCCCGTTAGTTTGTGGAATACTTTAGTTTTTCATGTTATGTTTTTAATTTTCTTTTTTGTAATACATTTAATATGGTTTGGGTTAGGTGATATTATCCATAATAGTTCCAGTATTATATTAAATACTATTGCATATACTATTATATACAATTTCTTGATAATTATTCATAATTGTTCGGTAAATGTTCGGTAATCGGTGAAAAGGGACTCGGGAACTCGGGGGGTTTTCAATAACTCAGTCAAATAAATTTTACACAGTTTATTTAACCACACAAAAAAAAACACAAAACGAAATTGCACACACTGCACGCACACGACGACACGACGAAGAAATTATTAGAAAGTATAATCGAAATGGGAATGTTCGGTTTCGCGCACCGCGTGTTTACTCCTCGGGATTATAACGTCTTCCTTCGACAACGGTTGGCTTGGTACTCTCTCTCGCGAGGGTCGGGCGATCACTTAAATTCGGGAATCCACGGTAATTGTCGTCATCATGGCCCAATCCGCTGTTGCTTATTAGACATGACGACGACGGGAACCAATAAATTTCATACCGGTAACGGGGGGGTTCTCGGTGTCTCTCGATCCTTCGAGAACGCACCGAAAGAGATCTTCCGGTGCGTCCAGGAGGACGAGAGACAGACAACTTCACGGTTGGGATTTGAGTTCAGGGATCGCCCTCTCCTACTTGCCTAGATACGGAACAATAATTATTTCAAATATATTTTATAATAAGAAGACGAATTGACGGGTCAATAAAGAAAATATAAAAATTCGACGAAGGGCGTCATCGTTACGGTGACGCATCTTCTCCGCCGGAGATTTTGAGGTGGAGCACCGTACGAGGAGGTGGAAAGGACGAGCGGACTGACTTTTGAACCGCGAAGCGAACGAGTTGATTCTTTTTTCGTTGTCTTACGAGTTTACCTTTATTTTTAATTAAAAATATATTATAAAATTTCTTGTTATATATTGTAATCCTACAGAATTAATAGCCGGCAAGAGGTAATGTGTTATATTATTTTCTGTTATATAAATTCGGTGCAATGTGATTCGTTTATTACGACTATTAGAAAACAAATTTGCAAGAAATTGTGTAGGTAAACGCGTAGGGTCAACTGCTACGATTCTTGTGGTTCTGAGTTCGATTCCGGCAACCGACATTATGGCACTTTTTCTCTCCAATTCCGTAATATTATATCGTAAATGAGATCCGATGATTTCTACTAATGAATTGTGGAGAATAAAAAATTCTCCAAAATCTAACGATTAAACATTTTTATTCTTGCACCACAGTCTACTATAAGATTTTATTTTGCTTTGGTATATGCACTATATGTGATATAAACTTATATTTAGTCTAGCTGTAAGAATTTCGGTGTATATGAAATGAGATAATGAGTTGTTTGCCTTGAGTCCCATTGAATGCTGCGTAGCGTTTGCGAGAGGATGTTTAGATGATCGGATCGAGTGTCGCGTTGGGTGTCCGAGTTCGAGGAATGATTCCGGGCGAGAATGCGTCAGCGTGTGTGGGGATGAGTGTTTTTTCGTGCAAGTCAGTTCATCACTGTTTGCGGAAGCGAATGGTCGAAGACCATCTCTGTTAATAAAGCACGGAAAAGTTAAAGGTGGAAAATTGAGATTTCTATTTTCCCTGAACAGTTGAATTACGTGATATGCGCAATGCAATGCGCAGTGTCATACCTTGTCCCGAAAATTGTACGCAGTTACCGACAGTTTCGTATTTTCATCGACGTTGTAGGTAATGTGGCCAAAACCGCGACAATATGCGACTAATACTACAAGCGCTCTAAGTAGATAATCGTGAAACTATAATTGCATGGCGGAACATCGTTGACAGGCGCCGGTGTGCAAAATCGTATTTTCGATCTTACATCTTTCAGAAGTGATAAATTGACAAAAAATGGACCAACCCGACATCGTACCATTACAGTAATGTCGGGCTGCTATCATTTTCGGTGAGTAAATCTCTAAATTTTGCGTAAAAGCGAAAATACGGCAACGTGTCTAGGAGCGGCCACCTTGACTGTCAAAATCTATGTCTGTCTCACGTGCACGTCCGAAGAATTTTTCGTTTTATTCAAAATGTGATGTTTATTGACGTAAAATCGATAGCAGCCCGATATTGTGGATATCTAACGGTACTAAAGTTATCCTTAGAAAGTGAATTTATGCAATTTTCGAGACGTAAGATCGAAAGTACGAAATCGGACCTCTCTCTCGCACATCGCCTATATGTGCATGCGCCGCTATGTGTTAGTATACAAGCACAGTTACTGCCGGATCCTGCCCTTAAAGTCTCGACGAAGTGCAAGGTCCAGCGATACGGCCACGGTTCCGTATGTTGCGATACGCGCGCCGTTCGCCGCAAAAAGTTCGTACTCGCTTCTCGCTACGGGTCCGCGCAACCGGTCGCGAGGGAATACGCATAAATCGGCCCCAGTGTCCACCGGAAACGAAATCTCCGACCGTTTGTCCGTTACGTAGATGCGGCGAGACACGGGCCCGTCGTCGTGTGCCGCGTTCACTGACAACCGCTCGCGTTTCCCGACGCCCAAGTGCAAGGAGCACGACACTTCTCTGCACGGTGTTTGAATGTCTCGTGGTACCAGCACAGCTCCGCTTTTCCTTCCTTACTCCGGGAACGGCTGCGGTGACTTTTTCGTTCTACCGAACGCGGGCGATGTCGGTTCATGGCCTCGATCCGCACTTCAAGTCTCTCGATCATCTTCCGCAATTCGTCGACCTCGTTCGGTCCTTTGGGGGTGATTGCGGCGATTCGTCCTTGTTCCGGATGTATCTCGTGGATCCGATCGGCCATCTCCGCTAATACAGTCGGCTTCGTTTCCGATGTAGCGGCTAAAACTCGTTGCACGCTGACTGTTAGTCGGTTTTTCCATAGCGTGACGATGAAGTCGTCGGGCACGGACGGTGTGGCCAGCTTCTTCAAGTCCTGGAAAAACTGTGACGGTGTCCGGTCGCCGAGTCCCTCGCCCTCCAATAGTTTTCGCACTCGCATGCTGTCGGATTCGGCCAGTCTCTTCATTAATTCGCCCTTTAGGTATTCGTACTGCCCGGTCGCGGGCGGGTCGAGCACCACGTCCTCCACCTGCTCAACGTAACTCTCGCCCAGGTTCGCGATGGTGATATTGAATTTAACTTCGTCTGTCGTTATGCGAGCCGACGCGAACTGCGCTTCTAACAGTTTAAACCACAGCGCGATTTTGTGGGGCCAGAACTGAGGAATGCGCAATTGTTGACCTACGATACTAACGCTATCGCCTTCGAGATTCGCGCCTTTCGAATCGTCGGATGCGCGATGTCCTTCCGCGGTAAGCGACATTGTCTCTGCTCTCGCGACGGCGAAAGAAAGAAAAAACGAAATCTCGATTTATCGAATCGGAAAAGAAATTCTCCTCGCGTTTACCCCTTTACTTCAAATCACGTCGGGGTCACCACTTTGGGGAAACGACGGAGGAGAAGAAATAACTTGCGGTAGAAACGTACGCGGAATTCAAAAAAACTTTTATTTGCTAAGTCGCTGGTGTACGCTCGCGTGTCTATCTGGAACAAGAGGCCCTCGACTCGCGGGCGCGTCCTTTTATATTGACAGGTGTCGAACGTTCGAGACGATTTTTCAAATTCGCCCGTTGGAGTGTCGGCACCGACGCGACGCGTGCCGTTGTTGTTAGTCGGAGGTCGGCGGAACGCGCCGTGTCCCAACCGTCGGCGATCACCTCCAACCGTTTTCGCGGGCAATAAACGTTTACTGTCACGTTCGCATATACGATCGTATTCCGAGCTGCTCATATGCGTCGGTTATTATTTGAAAGTACCGAAATTGAATACCCGCTAAGTCCGCTACAGGTCCTTTGACCTGCTCTTCGAATCTCCGCTTCTCCCGGGTGATTATCTGGTCTAGCCACTTCTGTTGTTGAGGTGAGGCCTCGATCAGTCCGCAATGGTGTCACTGCAATGGTGTGGGTTTCTTGAGCCGCAGGTGGTCCGTGCTCCCTTCCGCAGACCTTGAGTTGTAGCTTGTGGAGGATGTCCATCCCCAACACCATGTTGTAGGCCAGGTTTGGCATTTCGTAGAATAGGTGATCTTGTTGTGCGCCATGGATGATAACCTCTCCTTGGTAGCTGTTTTTGGTCGGTATGTACTCCCCGTTGGCCAGGGCGGTCACCAGGTTATGGCGGCGTCTCCTCCACCCGGTTTCGCGGCAAATCTGTGCGGTGTGCTGGTCGATGTACGAGGAGACTGCTTCGGTGTCCAGGAGTGCGGACACGGTCCTTTCTCCTATCTGTACGTCCAGTACTAGCCGATCTTTCTGATCGGACGACTTCCCGGTTACTGGTAGTGGTCGCTGGTCTGGCTCCAGTTGAACCGTTTTTTCCAATCGTGTCGGCTGACTGCGATGGGCCATGAAAACAGCGGATTTCTCCTGCTGTTTCATCGTTGGGGTCGGGCTTCCCGGCCCTTTTGTCGTTTCCCAGCTTGTAGCAGGGGCAGTCGCGGCTTGGAATGCCATCTTTCCCGCAACAGAAGCGGGTGGGACTGTTCTGACATTGCAGTCGGTTTTGTCCCCGTTGGCCGCGGCGCCAGCAATGGGTATCCCGATAGTAGTCGCTGGCGATGTGATAGATAATAATTTTTCGCCGTACGTATTAATTACTGCCCCGGTCGCCGCGTATAACTTAAACGAGCCTACCTGCCGATCCGTACCTCCCAATGCTCGCGAAATTACCGAAATGTCTGCGCCCGTGTCGACCAGAAATTCGATCCTGCTTCTGCTATCCCGTATGCTGAGGCGATATTTCTGCGTCACATCGCCAATTGCCTCGACTTGGGACGCCGCCTCTAGTTTTTTTCCGATCCACGCTTGTCTGGGCCTGTCCAACTGCATGGCTTTCTGCATTTCGAGGACTGCTCGGCGAATTTGTGATGAAGCCAGCACAACCCGTTCCGTCTCGTGCTGTCGTCCCGGCTGGCGCTCCTCCTCCTAAAGAAGCGCTGCTTGTTGCGGTTGCGATTCCTCTTGGTTAGCTCAATCTCTAGCCGAGACAATCGCATCGCGATTGCCGCCAAGTCGCCATCTTGGCGTCTGGGCCTGTCGTCCCACGTTGCGTCCGCCATTGTGTCCCGCTTGGTGTGGGTGAAATCGGCAATGGCCGACACCTCGGCCGCCGAGCGCTCCATGGTTTTATCGGCGACTTTCGCCAACCGTTGCAGGTCAGCATCGTCGATTATGGACACGATCTCCTGCACCCTGCCCGGAAGTCGCTGGATCCACAGCGCGCGGAGTGCGTTCTCCCCGACGTTTGCCCCCATGAGCTGGGTCATCTCCCTTAGGAGTTCGAGAGGTCTTCTGTTGCCCAGTTCAAGGCCAGATAGCAGGTGTCTTAAGGGTCTGAGGGCTATCGTGGCGAGTGCACGTGATCGGGGGTCGCTCCGCGTTAAAATCCAGTTTTAGCGGTCGCTCCGCGTTAAAATCCAATTTTAGTGGGAAAAAGTGGTAAAAGTGTGGTAAATAATGTTGTGAAGTGAGGGGAAACCGCGGGGGAAGTGAGCGGTGAAAATTTTTGAAAACTGGAAGTGGAATAGTGACATTATAGATAAAAAACGAAATTTCGGTAATGACGACCTCCACGCGACGCGAGACGAGGGAAAGCATGGGGTGCAAACATGAGAAGCCGAGAGTGTGGAAACGAGTGTTCGGGCCGACCGTGGAATGAAATAAATAAGTGCGCGACTTAAACATGATTATTTTAATATATCGCGAGTGAAATTAGTCCAATTTAAGGGCGAAATATGCCCCTGAAGAAGGACTTGCGCGAACACGTGGTCGTGCGGTATGTCGAAGTTGAGAGAGAAAGTCGCAAAATTAATAAATTAAATAATGTAAATGTCAGAAGGGAATTAGAGTGCGGGGGAAGGGTGAATGAGGCATATTGCATGCACGCGGTAGTTAGCCTTTGAGTTTTTCTTTTTGTGATTTGACGGTGA